GTGGCTGGAAGGGCTTCGCTGCCCGAGAATGGGAATTCTCTTCACCAGGATATGGAGACTGTTCAATCACCAGGAACACAAAGTTATCATTGTTGGATTGGATAATGCAGGGAAAACTACCATCCTTTACCAGTTTTCTATGAATGAAGTTGTACATACATCCCCTACAATAGGAAGTAATGTAGAAGAGATAGTGATTAATAATACATGTTTCCTGATGTGGGATATCGGTGGCCAAGAATCTCTTCGCTCATCCTGGAATACTTACTATACTAATACAGAGTTTGTAATAGTTGTTGTGGACAGTACAGACAGAGAGAGGATTTCTGTAACTAGAGAAGAACTCTACAAAATGCTGGCTCATGAGGACTTAAGAAAAGCAGGACTGCTGATTTTTGCTAATAAACAAGATGTTAAAGAATGCATGACTGTAGCAGAAATCTCCCAGTTCTTGAAGCTTACTTCTATTAAAGATCACCAGTGGCATATCCAGGCATGCTGTGCTCCTACTGGAGAAGGATTATGCCAAGGGCTTGAGTGGATGATGTCACGGCTGAAGATTAGATGATCTCTGCTGACCTCTTCTCATGGACTTATATAAACAGAGTGCTGGACTTTACCTGAAAGCTGCAAAAATCAATGGTTTAGATATATTTATAATAAACTGACTTAAATTTAAAAAAAAATAATAGTATTGGGTCTTGCACTTGACTGACAATGTCAGAAATTGTTGACCTGATTCCCCTACAGCTCAACATAACAGCATGGCTTACTTCTTATATTTCGTTTTTATACTTTTCTGGTGGATGGTTAAGACCAAGGTAAAGCAGGACCTATGCAACAAGAGTTGTAGCTTTTGGGTCTGATAAGGTCAGTCAAATTCCCTCAGGATTTATCCTGAGATCCTGTACCTCAGATTGTAGAACCTTTGTCAGTGTCAGCCATGTGGATGGGACACAGCCATTGCTTGGCCAATGTGCACTCTGTGAAATACCGAGAGAAAGTTTTCTCTCCATGTGACTCTCCTTAGGCACACTCTACATCATTGATCACTTTCCTCTTTGGCCCCATAATACCTTGATCAGAAAACTTGGGACACTGCTGACTTACATGACGTTACAGTACAAGTTCTCATATGTCCTGAGTCTTAATTGACTTTAGAAGACTAGAGCCAAAATGTTGGCTTTCCTTGCAGCCCTCCTTTTTCTCTAATTCTGGTCTACAAACTTAGGTTGTTAATCATCCAAAGACAAGCTTATTGTTATTACCATACAACTTAGGCTGTTAAGTTTAACCTAACTATCTGTCTGCACATGAAACATCTTAGGCATAATATGGAACAGGTATTTTTCCTCAAGTATTGAATGTTGAACTTTAAGTCCCTACAGAATATGATAAAAAAAAACATTTAAAAATTAGAATATATTTTTAAAATAGGCATAAAGAATTACATACTTCTTATGTATACACATAAGTCCAAAAATCTCACCATATAAAACCTTGAAGCAGGACAGTCCCACAATATTCCTTTTCCTATCTCTTGCTTTCATTCACCACTCCCTTCTTTTTGAACAACCATCTACCTGAGAGACATCATAGCAGCAAATGTCGTGTCATTACAAGCAGCCCATATTCAGAAGACCAGAATGGAATCAACGGCTTCTGAAATAAAGAAACAGCTGCTTCTGAAATAAAAGAAAGGTATAGAGGAACTCAGATTGGAAATCAAAAAAGGAAATCCCTGAATTAATAACATCTGCAGTAAAGAATCAAATGCAGAAACATATAGAGGAAACCCAATGCTCACCCAGAACAAGTGCAGAGGACACTAGCTTGGCTCAAATGTATGAATTAATAACATTGATAGTAATTACACAACAGCAGAGAGTCATAGAGGAACTCAGAATGGAATTCTTTTCTGAAATAAAAAAGAATTCTCAGAACTCATAGCATCTGAAGTAAAGTACCAACTACAAAACATAGAGAGGAAACCCAATCTGAAAAAAAAACTATTGTAAAATAATTTATGACTGCTTCTAAAGAAGACATCGATAAAAAAGTACAGGAGATTAGGAAAATGACGGATTCCTTCAATGTGCAATACAGGAAAGAAATATATCACATGAAGCAGAGTCAAAGAGATACAGAAGAATTTAAAATCTCAATCACAAGCTTACAAAACCATTTAAGTGAAAGTGAACACAGAGTTTAAGATCTTGAAGACTCTGCTGTAGCTAGTGGAAAGGTAAGAAAGGATCTCTTAAAAACAACGAGGATGCAGGAAAGAATAATCCATCACCTGCAAGATGAT